TAGAGCGTTGGCTTGCAGTCCGGAGAGACCCAGGTTCATTTCCCGCTAAGGGCATGTACCTCGGTTGCAGTTTGTCCCCGGCCCTGGTTGGTTGTGCGGGTGGCAGCCACTCGATGTGTCCCTTTTGCATCAATGTTTCTCTCTCTCTCTCTCTCTCTCTCTCTCTCTCTCTCTCTCTCTCTCCCTCCCTCCCTCCCACTCTATCTGAACAAAATATCAAAAAATGTCCTCAGGTGAAGACTAAGAAAATAAATTAAAAAAATAAATAAATAAATAAAAATACCTAGACCAAATAATCCAATTAAAAGACTAAGTTTGTTACTTTAGATTAAAAGCAAAAAGAAGAAAGAAAGCAACACCTAAACATGTACAGCTCAGAAGAGACATATTTCATAGATTAAGACCCAGAGGAGTTGAAAGATAGATAGAGAATATACAATGTAAATATTAACCAATAGATAGCTGGTGTAATTATTCTATTGTAAAGTAGACTAGAAAGCAAAAACATTTCCAGAGATATAGGACATTTATAATAAAAGTTTCATACTTCTGGAAGTTACAAAAATCTCAAATCTGCTAGTATCCCATAATGTGAAATTAAGTACATCAGGTATATAAACGACACAACTAAAAGGAAAAATACATAAAGCCACTATCAGTGAGAGACTTGAATGAACCTTTCTCAATACCTAATACAATAAACAGACAAAAACATCATTACTGATACAGAGGATCAGAATTCCTAGTGAACAAACATGCCCTCTTGAAATATGTGGAAAACTGCACTGAAGAAAATAACAATACATGTTATTTGTAAGTACATATAAAACACTTGACAAAATTATTCATACCCTGGGTGAAATCAAATCTCAACAAATATCAAAGGATTGAGCTCATTCAGCATAACATTATACTAGAAAGCAGTAACAAAAAAATAATTAGAAAATTCTAAAATATCTTAAATTTTTGCAATACATTTTTTATATTAGTCCATGGGTCAAACAAGTAATTATAAAGAAAATTCAGAAACTATCAGTAAATAAATTTTTTAAAGAACATGAATATCAATACTTGGGAACTTCTGGCTAAGAAAGAGTAGCCTTCCAGGTGTTCCCTAATACAATTAAAGAACTGTGGATATAACTCAACGAGTACCGAGATGTAGGTAGTCCCTGAAAAGTGCAATGACAAAACCTCTTGCCCAGGGATCTCTAGACTGGAAAGTGACAGGGTGGTAAGCCCCCTGGGTTCCCTTATTGCCTCCCATATACTCTAGATGTGTACTTTAGAAACCTCTAACCCAGAATCATCAATAGCAAGATAAAAATTTGCTTCAAGGAAAGTCTATTTTCTCTGGTTAAAAGACTGGGAAATAAGTGGGCTAAAGACATAAACCCTTTTTGGCTACCTGCCCTAATCCAATCAAACATCAGTAGAGACACTGCCCTGTCTCCCCCAAGGGTTCAGCAGAGGTGAACAGGGAGCTGGTGTACTGCCCATCTTCTGGTTCCCCCCCTGGTAGTGGTCCAGGGGCCAAGCAGAGAGCTGATCTTCCATCCCCCACCTGGAAGGAGCAGGCAGCACCCAGTTCCCTGCCAGGGTAGCATCAGTGAGGTCCAGTGGGGAGCTGAACTTCCGTCCCCACCCTGCAGCAATTACACTGAGAAAGGTAGTATGAGATGTGGCCAGTCAGTACTCTGCCTCCCTCCCATGCTGACCACCATGACCCAGTAGGCAGATGAGCCCCCATTTTCACCAGTCATCACCAAGGCGGGATCCCATGATGGGAGGTGGGGCTGATTCACCTCAGCTTTTCCTCCAGCCCTCCCCATCTCAGCAGGGTTCTGTGGTGAGCTGAGCTTCTCTCCTACCATCACCAAAACAAAGTGCATCAGCCTCCCTGTCCACCCTCCCAGGTAGAACAGAGCCGAGCAAAGAGCTGACTGACACTCCACTCAAGGCAGTGAGGTGGTCTAGCAGGTGTTTGACTTTCACTAAGTACCATCAGCAGGGCTGAGGGGTGAGCTGAATTACATCTCAAACATCTGCAAGGAGGCAGCGCGAGTCCACGTTCACTTTTGTTGGGATGGTGACAGCAGGAAACAACATCCAGCCCTCACACCTCACCTCAACAAATGGAGTGTCCACTTTAAAAAGGAAGATAAGTAGAATCTAGGATCTCATAAATTTCATATCCAAAAAGTTCAGGATAATCTTTTTAATCACCTCTTTTCCCAAAGTCAGGAAAATAAAAACTGGAATGAGAAAAGACAATCCAAAGACACTTAATACTGACATAAATGAGATGTTAAAATTATCTGACAAGTATTTTAAAGCAGCCATCATAAAATGTTTCAACAAGTAATTGCAAGTTCTCTTGAAATACATGGAGAAATAGAAAATCTTAGCAGGAAAAAATACAGGTTATGAAAAGTATGAATGGACATGATAGAACATGAAATATATCACAACAAACAAAAGCATAGTGAATAGTCTCTCCAAAAGAGTGAAAATGACAGAGGATAAAATCAGTGAACTTTCATACAGATCTATGGAGTTTACCCAATTTTTACAGAAGGGAGAAAACCAAATGAAAAAACAAAATTAAAGTAAAGTAAGGAAGAACAGGTTCCCAAGACCTGTGGAGCAGTAAAAGAGGTAGCAGAAGAGAGAGACTGGGACTGACAAAGTGTTTCAAAAATAATGACCAAAAGCTCATAATTTGGTAAAAGTCATAAATGTACAGATTTAAGGTGAGGCCCAGATAAAATAATTTCAAAGAAATCCATGCCAAGACACATCATCATTAAACTTTTGAAAACTAATGAAAAAGAACAAACAAACAAACAAACAAAAAAAACACCTTGAACGTGGCAGGCAAGACATAACATATTATTTACAAGGTGCCACCTATTTGAATGACAGTGGAGGCCAAAAGGCAGTAACATAATATTTCCAACTGAAAGAAAAGAGTTGTCAACTACAAATTCTATAGCCAGGGAACGTACCCTACCGAATAAAGGTAAAATAAAGATATTCTCAGACAAAGGAAAACTAAGATAATTTGATGCTAGCAAATTCGTCTTTAAGAAATGGTTTAGCCCTGGCCAGTTTGGCTCAGCGGTTAGAGCATCAGCCTGCGGTCCAGAGAGACCCGGGTTCGGTTCCCGCTAAGGGCATGTACCTCGGTTGCAGTTTGTCCCCAGCCCTGGTTGGTCGTGCGGGTGGTGGCCACTGGATGTGTCTCTTTCACGTCGATGTTTCTCTCTCTCTCTCTCTCTCTCTCTCTCTCTCTCTCTCTCCCTCCCACTCTATCTGAACAAAAAAATTAAAAACAAAAAGAAATGGCTTAAAAAAAAATAAACAGAACAAAAATTAACAGAAGACTTGAAACTTTAGAAAGAACAAACTTTGAAGTGGATAAACAATGGGTTAAATACAGGATGGGGCAAAGGTAGGTTTACAGTTGCTCGTACGGAAAATAATACTATAATAAATAAATAATGCAATAATAAACTGTTTTGTATACTTACAATTATAAACCTACTTTTGCCCCACTCTGTACACTAGATTAATCATTTTTCCACCAGTTTTTAAAATTATTTTGATAACTAAAACAAAAAAATCATATCACCTGATATGGTGCTTGATGTATGTATAGGAAATGAAGATAATTATACTTACAAATTAGGGAGGATAAAAGGACTTAACCGGCCGTAGCTGGTTTGGCTCAGCTGTTAGAGCAGTGGCCCATGGACTGAAGGGTGGCAGGTTTGATCCTGGCCCTGGTCGGGGTCATGCAGGAGGCAACAAATCAGTGTGTCTCTCTCACACCAATGTTTTTTTCTCTCTCTCTCTCTTCCTCCCACTCTATCTGAAGAGAAATGGAAAATATCCTCGGGTGAGGATTTAAAAAAAGGACTAAATGAAGTTAATGTTTCTGTACTTCATTCAAAGTAGCAAATTGTCAACACCAGAGGGTAAGAAAGTGTGTACATATCCTGCAGAAGATTTGACTATACCAAATGCTATACTCAAAAATACTAAATAAATCAAGATGCAATCCTAAAACTTGTGGGTACAGCAGACGCAAACTTTGATGGAAATGTCTAGTTCTGATTACATATATTTTTTTAAAAATCTGAAAAATTAATGATCAAATGAGGGTTTGGCAAACCTGAGGCCAATGGGCTAAATCTAGCCTGTCATCTGTTTTTATAAATAAAGTTTTATTGGAACAGAGTCATACCCATTCATTTATATGCTGTGCATGGTTTTTCTTATATAAAGGGCAAAGCTGAGTAGTTATGACAGAGACATTAGGGCCTGCGAAACCTAAAATCTTTACTACACCACTCTTCACAGAAACTTTCTGGACTCCTAGAACTTCCAATTCAAGAAACCTCAAGAACAAAAAAATCAAGCCAAAGAACTAAAGGAATGGACACAATAGAAAAAGAAGCAGAAATTATTTATAATATGCACCCATAATTAAGAGTATCAACAAAGCCCAAATGAGACCTCTGAAAAAACAAATTAATAAAATTTACAACCTCCTAGTAAAATGACCAACACAAAAGGGAAAAAACAAATTTCAGAATGAAAAGTAAGACATCACCAGTGTTCCTACACTTATTTAAAAAGATAATATTATGAGATTATAAACTACATGAAATTTTTTTTTTGCTATTAAATAAACTATACAATTTCCTTGAGAAAAAAACACTTATTAAAAAGAACACAAGAAGAAATACAAAATTCCAATAAACTATACCTATTGACACTGAATATATTACAAAGTGACTATTAGAGTCAGTGTTTTAAGTAATTTTTTTTTCACCAGATTAATAAATGTTTTACCAAATTATACTATTCTTTTCTAGTTCTTCATACTATTATAAAGATGTTGAAAGTAAGAATCAGGAGGCATCCTATGCTAAGAGTTTGACTAAAGGTCTCTTTTTCAGTCAACAGAAAACCAGGACTCAGGAAGAACTCACCTACTCAAGTCTGTCCCAGGCACATACTGAGAGAAACGAGAATGAAGTAGCGGGATCAGTCTCAGGTCACACCATCGCTTTTCCCATTTCAAGCCTGGAGATGTTGGCCATGAAGAACATGATAATGTGTCCTGAAAAGAATACCAACATTCACTATTGTTGTTCTTTTTTTTTCTTTCCTTCTGTGTTTTGAGTTTCATAAGTGACAAGTAAAAATGAGTTGTGTTTAATTTAATTCGCCAATATTTTCTGAGTATCTGCTAAGCACAAAATCCTTATAAGTGCTTGTGATTTATCAGTTACTTATGAATATTTGTGAGTATAATAAATTTTCTTATAAAACCACTTTTGCAAACTACTAAAACCCAGCTGATGTGGTGCAGTGGTTGAGCATTGACCCTGCACCAGGAGGTCACTGGTTTGATTCTCGGTCAGGGCACATGCCCAGTTTATGGGCCCGATCTCCAGTGGGGGGCATGCAGGAGGCAGCCAATCGATGTTCTTTCTCATCGATGTTTCTGTGTCTCCCTCCCTCTCTCTTCATCTCTCTCTAAAATCAATAAAGAAAAATATTTAAATAAAAAATTTTTTTAAAACTACTCAAGAAACACTTGATCATTATTTTAACTTAATGTTTATAAAATGTTTGTATTTTCTTGTATTTAATGTCATGTTAAATCAAATACTGCTGATTTAAAATTACATATATTTTATGTTTCACTAGAAGTCTGGATTTTTTTCTTATGTATAGAGGAGGCAGATGTGAATATCATTTGAGCTTTCTACTGGATGGTGATTTATGCTTCTGTCATTATACATGCTTCACTGTTAAATTGTCTTTGTGGCACTAGTGTATGAAATGATGTTGATATTTAAGTTGGCATGGGTTGTAAGGGGCCAAGGCTTAATTTGATCAGGGCACTGTTCAGGCTGATTTCTCTATTCTATGGTTTCTGAGTGATGATGTTAGAAAGAGATTCTATTTTACCCATGTTGAAACTCTTAGTCTATTATTAACCTTTTCTTTCAGATATTAATTCATTTAAAATTGCTTAGGGAATAAGAAAATGTCCTTCATTATCATTAAAGGTTGAATTTTTCTTGGTATTATTATGTGAATTGTCACCAATTGTGTAAACACAAGTCTACCAAATCCTTAGAGGAGTTTGGAACACTCAGAAGGGTGAACTGGCTAAGACCTCAGTGAGGCCCCCTGCTGGTTGGATTCAGTGAACACTAGTGTACGGCACCTATCCTTCGATGCAAGGCAGCTGCTTTTAATGCTTACTGGTGATTGCAAAAACACAAGCATATTAATCTCTCTCCTGGCCTCCATGTGCAGTGTTGTAGATGGTCAGCAGGGTCACCTGGGTGGCAGTACAACAGGGTGATGAGGGTTTAGGCTCCAAATCAGAATCAGACCATCTGGTTTTAAAATCCCAATTTCCCAACTGACTGGTTCTTTAACATAAGGGCAAGTTTGTAAACTGTCTGGGCCTTATGGTGCCTGTCTCCAAAGAGGCTATTGCAAGACGCTTCTTACAAAAGAAAAACCTAAAGCTTTTTTAGATTCATTCGAGCAGTGGTTCTCAACCTTCCTAATGCCGTGACCCTTTAATATAGTTCCTCATGTTGTGGTGACCCCCAACCATAATATAATTTTTGTTGCTACTTCATAACTGTAATTTTGCTACTGTTATGTCTTAAGCAACCCCTGGGAAAAGGTCATTCGACCCCTAAAGGGGTCGCGCGCGACCCACAGGTTGAGAACCGGTGCATTAGAGCATTGTTCCCCTAACTTTTCTGCATGAAGGCACTTGAAGAAACAATAATTGTTTGCAACACACTAGGATAAACAGATTAGGTTTCTGTGGTCAGGCCAGAATTAACAATAGGAACTGTAAGCATCCCAGGTCCCACCGAGTGCTTATAGTTAAGCCCATATCAGCATAGGGCTCCAAACCTCTGGACGGACCCCCGGCACCCTGCAGAGTGGCCCATACCTGAGCAGACTGCAGTCAGTAACTCATCCACGTCATCTGGCCTTTAGGTACCAAAGTTGTAAAATGTTCTTTCTTTTCTGTTTCCTCTGTACAGAAACGTGAATAAGCCCCACTTCAGCTATTGAACTAACCAGGTTTCATATTTCAGTTTATAGATCTGTTATTTAGTGAAATATGTAGTGTTTTTTGAAGATTATTTATCTTCATTTTAATTATGAAAATGTAATATAAATTTGCTTTCTAGCCTTTTTCTGTAACAGTAGTTTCAGGGTTATTTTTAGCTGTATATAAAAGTATTGAAAACACAAATACTTTATGGTTTTAAGTCATATAACTAGTTTACAAGAGCTTTATTCTTCAATGCCAAAAATATTATTTCTTATGTTATTAATAATATGCATGGGAAAAGTAACGTTTACATAGTCTTTGCTTTAAAATACTTTTTTTCCCAAAACTTAACACATTTCAAGGTACATTGCCACAAAATGACCTTGAGAAGATTCATCTCACCAAAACAGAACCGCATGTATGGCAAAATGCTGACCCAGATTTTAAGGCCTTGGCATAGAAAGTATTTATTAGGTATATAGCTATGGAAAATGGTTCTAAACTGTGGCTAGATGAAATGCACTGAAATTATTTCTTTATTTTTAATATAATTTATTTGAATTTATATTTGTCTTAATTACTATTGTCTAAAGTTGTGATAAGTACCCTTACACTTAAAGATCTTTGGTAGTGCCCAAATAATATTCAACTAAAATGTAAATAAAATGTGCCTATTGAAAATGGAAAGACAAATTTCAGTAACAAAAATTTCTGAACGCTATTTTTTTAATTTTATACTACTAAGTTTATTTGGAACAATTATGTTATAGAATTACTCAATTTTTTTTCTTTAATTATATCTTTCTAAAAGAGCATATATCAAGCAACCACATAAAGGCACAATTCATAAAATTTAATTTCATGGATTTTTTCATATGTTAATGGACTGAGTTAAAAATAAACCAGAATGATTCGTACCCATAGACCTTACACTCTACTTTCATTATTTTATAGGAGTTCAAGGGTATGTGGACAAGAATTAAAGTAAAAATGTTATCAGTTTTCTCTCACTCTTGGGGAAACTAGCTCTTCCTTCCATCTCACAGGCAGAGCTGAGACGGGTTCTCCTGAGTGTCTTGCGAGGGGAAAGTTCTCAGGAGAATCCTGTCAGGACTGAGGGAAGCAGGGGATGAGGCAGGGACAACCTGGCCAGAGATGGGGGGACCCAGGAAAAGAAAAAAGCTTCAGAGTCATCTGCCAAGTCCCTGTGAGGGGCCAGCCTATATACCCATCAGGAAGCCCCTGGCTGCGGCCACACAAAGGTGAGGGTGATGCGCCCTGATTCGCAGGCAGAAGGTACTTACAAGAGGGCTCAGCTGTGAATTAGAAGCAGCCAACTCTCCCAGCTGCTGGGGAACAGCCGCCAGCCCAGCAAAGGGACTGGGTGGGCATCAAAAGTAGCAGGACAGCTAGAGTGTAAGGGAAGAGGTGAGCAAAGCGACTGCTAAAGTAAAGGGTAATGGTCTGGTTGAGTCCTGTAGGTCTGAAGGATGGAGGAGGGAGCGGACGGGAGGAGCGGCCACAGACTCGTTTTCTCACCAGGCAGTGTTCACGTCACTCAGATCTCGCCATCGTCTGAAGACTGGCCTTTTAATATTACCTGTTATGTGACAATTATCTCTTTGGCAACAAAAATAAAAGAGAAGGATAGCTCAAATATACCCAGATGTGGTTAGGTTACACTTGTAGTAGTAACTCTTGGTCTTGCCAAGGGCTCCTCTTCAGGAGGAAATAAATAAATAGTACATACATGCATACATACACACACACACATACATACAGAGAGCTGAGCCCTAAGGCACTCAGCTGAAGAAACACGGTGCGGTAAGGCGCAATGAAGGCCATTCAGGACTGAAGACTTCAAAAGGAGGACTTTGAAGTAAAACGCTACCGTTAGGTAATAATTTCAGATGGGAGATGAGCCATTAAGTCAGCGGAAGCCAAATGTGGAATAAGAAACAGAAGCCTCTTCAAGTTACTCTGCTGGTCTCTATGTTTGTGAGAACAGGGAGTAACTGCTAGTCTGACAGATAACCGGAAAGGCTTGTTTAGTGTTTATGATGTGTGAACACTTTAAAGGTGAACTGCATGAAGTTTCAAAAATATTTATAAAATTCAAATAAATCCTGTTCAATCCAAAATACAAGTGGAAAATTTAAAAATATATTTTGTTAAATATATGTGAAACACAATGCCAATTTTATCAATTATTTAATACATGTATAGCTTAACATTCATTACATTTTAACACAATGGGTAGGTAAGATTTTTCTCACTTTGCATTAATTCCCTGATATGCATAAAAATTGCTAAGAAATCTAAAAAATGGCAAATGAGATAGCTACTTTGAGCTAAATAATTTCAGTAGAAAATTATTTTAAAAAAGCATAGTAAATCATTTAGAGCATAAAATTACTTACAATATGCAATGTTATATAATTATTATATGATGGTATGCGTGTTCTTCTGAAGCTAAAATTCTCTAGAGCTTACAGATCGCAGAGGAGAAAATGACAGTAAAAAATACCTGACCTACTTTTTTCCCTCCTGGCTTGTCATAATACTTAATGATGAAGCAACCACGGATCTCAAACCAGATCCAATATCAGGTTTTGCACACTATAAATATACATACTGGGGGAGGGGGGGGCTTTTTGTGTTAATCTCCTTATTAATGTGAACCATGCTTCGGCAATCTTACTGTATTGTTGGGATGATAGTTGAGGTGTAAGCCACTGTCACAGAGAGGAGAGGAGGTGCCACTACTCTGGTCACTTGGTGCACCTGGGGAAACAAAAACACAGCACCCACTGGTGAGGATGCCCACATGCTCTCATCTAACCAGCCTGTTTTATCACACTCAGTCATATCAAGTAACTCAGGTAGTAAAATACATTTTTATTTTACTTCTATCAAAGTTACAGTAAGCTCATTGACTAAAATTAGGGTGCTAAAAGAGACCTGCAAATATTGGTCTTTGATTTCATAAAAATTAAGGCTTTATTAAGGAAGGTAAACAACCTTATAAAAGTAAGAGTTCATTTTATTATCCAAAGTGAACCATACTTATAATAGTTAATAGTGCAGAGTTTTATTTGTCTTCAAATTCTACATAATGTCATGTTTCAACCTCCTGGTAAATCCTAACTTTAGATACTATAATTTTCCATAATGCAACCAATGTTTTTCTCTGTTCTGTCTTTGCAAGGGCTCTCGGTAAATACTATAATTGGAAGTACTCTTATTGACACTGTGTACTTTTGCAAAATTGCAACTAAAAGCTGAAACTTAATTTCTATTTTTTAAAGATGAGTTATTGGTATCCTAAATATTTTGGCTTTTTAAAATTTAATAATTTAGTAATTTTTAAAATTAGGACTGGAAGCATATTTCTTGATTTCTGTTTTATTTAAGTTTTTCTAAAGACATTATGGTTTTAGAATGGCTAATGTTGATAAACATGAGCTATTAGTGTAATTGACTCTCAATTTTCATTTGCAGTATTGTACTTAAACATCACAGTCATAGAAAACACTCCTAATTTGTTAACTGATGTGTTCAAAAAAAGTAATGATTTTGCCAGGCCAGTGTGGCTCAGTGGATTGGGTGTCGTCCCATGGATTGAGAGGTCCCGGTTGGATTCCTGGTCAGGGCACATGCCTGGGGTTGAGGGCTCAATTCCCCAATAGGGGGTGTACAGGAGGCAGCTAATTGATGTTTCTCTCTCTCTCTCTCCCTTCCATTCTCTCTAAAAAAAATCAATAAAAACATTTAAAAAAATGATTTTGTTCTCCACTTTTATTACTTCAAAATTCAAGAGTTTTCTTGGTGCTAAGAAGGGAATAATACACTTTTTTTGCTATGCTAGCATAAATATAATTTCTCCACTCTTTAAATCTTAAAGATTTTATACTTTGTTTTAGTTACTTTTCCTATTGATATTTATCTGCATCTCTCTTAAGAGACAATATTTTAATGCACACACATATTACATGAAAATATATCCATTTCTAATTGAATAAAATGAAATTATAACATATTAAATTCTGTAAATTGACAACTTAGTTTCAATAGACAAAAAAAAAAAGTAACATTGAAAAAAATAACTTACAAAAGCAGAAACTTAACAATATATTAGCAAATTAAAACCCCTAATAATTATAATTTAAAAACAATACTTCATGGCCATGTGTTTATCCTAGAAATGTAAGCTCAATTTGGCATTCAAAATCAATTTTCTTTTATTGTTGAAAGTATTGCAGATGTCCCACTTTTTCCCCATTAACCCCATCCTCCTTACTCATACCTCTTGCCTCCCCCAACCTACTGTCTGTGTTGGTTGGTTGTACATATATGCATGTAAGTTCTTTAGTTTCTCTCTTCCCAACCACCATCCCTCTGAGGTTTGTTAGTCTGTTTCCTACTTCCATGAATCTGGATCTATTTTAAATGGTCACCACATCAATAGATTAAAAAAAAAATACAATATCTCATGTGATGTAAAAAAATACTAATTGAGACAGGAGCAGGGCCTCTACCCCAACTCCTCTGGGGACCAAGACAAGACAGAGACCACTGGGGGAGTCCGGCAGGCTACTTGGGGCAGCAAGTCAGCTCATGAGCAGGAAGAAGGGATGGCAGCCAGCGCAGTGGCATTCCCTATGGATGACAGGTTCCTGAGACGGGGTGCGCCCACCACCCATGTCCTGTACAGGGACAGAGCAGAATGGGCTCCTCCAGGTTCAGTGCCACAGAACAATGGCCCGGTCCAGGGGTCCAGATCACTTATCGTGACAAATTTAGAGTGGTTTATTATTATTTCCAGGCTGTTATGCCATGTGATGAAGGAAGTGAATGAGATTTTAAACTAAAGATGCTATTGAGTTAAATGCAATTATATATATAGTGTGGTATTTTCAGAGTTCTCTTAAAATCACTTTGAAAGGATCTAAGTGAGAAAATGAACTACACCACTGTCATAATTGCAGAACCACCTCAAAAGTCTCAAGTTTGGCCTCATAGACAAGTATTAGTGGAATGGCTAAACAATCCATCTCAGGAGCTCCAGTTTATTCTGATACTTTTCATCAGGAGCCAATGACATTTCATGCCTGGAAACGTCCACATTGTGTTATTCCGGAATTTAAACTTGGGATAAAGAGCTGCAGTATGTAAACCAGCTTCTTGAAGAGGACATGAGAAAAACTCAGGAACCAAGATACCTTGTAATGTCCAACACCACTGGCTACGGTGATCATGTTATACTGGAGCGAAAGTCCAGTCCATTCTGTAAATGATAAGCTAATACCACAATGAAACTGCATTAAACTGTCTGCAAGGGATCATACAGGTTTGTGGTACTTCTTGTGGATACCTATAAAGATGTGATAGGAAAAACCAATGTGGAAATGAGAAGATTATTATTATTTTTCCCATCACCATTTATGCCCCCTCTGCGCCCTTCCACCTCCACCCCTCCACCCCTCCACCCCTGCAATCACCACACTGTTGTCCACGTTCATGACCTCTGTTTCCTTTTTTGCTCAATCCTGATGGCCCTGCAAAAACCCCTCCACATACTAGAGCTGTTCACCTGCTCTCTATCAATCATGAATCTAGAGCCGTCTGCCTGCTCTCTATCATGAATCTGTCTCTATTGTGCTCGGTAGTTCAGTTTGTTCATTAAGTTCCACATGTGAGTGAAACCATACGGTATTTTTTTTCCTGACTGGCTTATTTCACTAAGCATAATGCTTTCCAGGTCCCTCTATGCTGTTGCAAAGGGTAACATTTTCTTCCATTTTAAGGCTGAGTAGTGTTCCATTGTGTAAATATACTATGGCTTTTTTATCTACCCATTGACTGATGGACACTTGGGCTACTTCTACAACTTGGCTACTGTAAATAATGCTGCAATGAACATAGGGGTGCACATATCCATTCAAATTAGTGTTTTAGGTTTCTTCAGATAAATTTTCAGAAGTGGAATTGCTGGGTTATAAGGCAGTTCTATTTTTAATTTTATTTATTTACTTTTTTTGTGGTACGTGCCCCTAGCAGGAACTGAGCCCGGGACTCCCTGGTCTTTGGTCCACAGGCCAACGCTCAACCGCTGAGCCAAACTGGCCAGGGCCTATTTTTAATTTTAATCAGCATTACCACCAAGAATGCATGAGGGCTCCCTTTTCTCCTGCCCTGCCAACACTTGTTGTTTGTTGATTTATTGATGGTGGCCATTCTAACAGGTGTGAGGTGATATCACATTGTGGTTTAAATTTGCATTTCTCTGATGATTAGTGACATGCAAAAAAAAAAAAAAAATGAAACTAGACCAATCTCTTATACCACACACAAGAATACATTAAAATGGATTAAAGACTTAAATGTTAGACTCAAACCCATAAAAATCCTAGAAGAAAACATAAGCAGTAAAATCCCAAACATTTCTTATAAAAATATTTTTTCTGCTATAACTCCTTAAACAAGGAAAACAGAAGAAAAAATAAACAAATGGTACTACATCAAACTAGAGTTTTGCACAGGAAGTCATCAGTAAAAAAATAAATAAATAAATAAAGACAACCTGGGAGACTATATTCACCAGCAATACATCAGATAAGGGGTTAATATCCAAAATTTACACAGAACTTATCAAACTCAACATCAAAAAAATAAACAATCCGATTAAAAAATGGGCAAAAGAACTAGACACTTCTCCAAAGAGGACATACAGATGCCCAACAGACATATAAAAAGATGCTCAACATCACTAAGAAAAACATTTTAAATAAAGCATTAGAGTTATTTGAAATCCTAATAAAGAGAATGACACCATAAGAAAGGATTATTTGAGATCTACAGGAAGATCTCTTCGAAGCAAACATAGTACAAAACTGACCCACCAACAAATGTAGAACAATAACACCATTTAGAAGAAATTGATAGAATGCTTTTATTGATTTATTTAGTTAGTTAGTTGAGATTTGAATGTGGAAGTTAAAACTAGAGTGATCATTCCCTTTGCCTGTGCTGTAACATGTGCATTGCATCAGGTATTGGTTTTTTAACGAAAATGAAGTGTGATGCTCCTTGGGTACCGCTGCAGTTCTGACTAGTTCTGAGTAATTTGATTCTTTTAAAGCAAGGTATTGGGGGATAAAGGAAAAACAAAAAGTCCCAAAAAGGAAATCTGTGGTCTTTTAAATATTTACTCTAATCCCTTAGCATTAATGCGTCCCTGAATAGTATATGCATCAGGATTTGCAGCATCAATGATTGTAGGCTATTTTTATGTAATGGGCATGAGGTAACTTGAATTTCAATTCAGGAAGCAAGAAATGCAATTGTTATATTAGAGCTGCTATGACACAGTCACAGTGTCTTGCTATCACTGTAACCAACTAATGTCAAAAGAATTGTTTTGTTATAAAATTATAGATGTATCCTAAAACAATTGAGACAATTTGACATAAACTTATACTCTAAAAAAAGAGAGAGAGAGAGAGAAGGAAAAAAAAAAAAACTTCAGTAACCAAGAAATAGAAGGGCATTTTCTCAGTCTAATAATGGCCATCTGTGAATACCTATAGCTAATATCATACTTAATGGTAAAAGACTGGAAACTTTCTCTCTAAGATCTTGAGCAAAAGAAGAATGTCTGCTCCCAATAATGTATCTAACATTTTATTGAGGTCCTAGACATTGTAATAGGAAAGAAAAAGAAATTGAAACACATAGTTTGGAAAAAAATAAGCAAAACATTATTTATAAAGGACACAATTTTA